CTGTATTTATTACATATTATTGAATTTTGTCAAATAAGGAAGTGAACAAACATTAAATTAAGTAGAGATAATGCATTCTAAAATATATTTTGCTTGCTTAATTTGACTATTGTCACTTAATAAATGAAACTATTGTATAAGTAGAAGTATTGCAGTGTGTCTTGTAAAAATACTGAGATCTCAGTAATAACAAGGTCATCCTAAAACACTCCAGCATTAAAAGTTTTGCTGAGAAATGGGGAGCCAGCTTTTTGTGTGTATTTTATGATGTGCAGATTAGAGAGGTGACAATGTAATTTCTGCAGTCTCTGTTTCTCCAGTGCTACTTCCACTTTATTTTTATGTCATCTTCAGCAGAAGAGGAGTATTTGAGATTTTAGGACACTTTTTTTTTTTTTTTTCAATAAAATCCCTTAGCCTTTGTCTGTGTTCTTACACACACATACTTTTCCCTTTTGGACATGTACCATGAAGTGCTTATACTGCAAATCAACTTTAATACGTGTATGACCAGCACTTCATTGTGCTTTATAACTCTTCTCTCCTATTTTTGCTAGAGCTGTTCTCTTCACGTAGGGATTTTGTTTTGTTACATTGTTTCATAATAGGACTACTATATTGCCTAAACTATTTATTGGTCTGATTGTTCCAGAGGGGAGAGGGTAGTTTTCAGAGGAATCAGCCAATTAGACTAATGATGCCACCATACAAATTGCAAAATTCCACTTAATTGGCTAAGGAGGTGAGGACAATGAGCTGGTTTGGATTACCTGGAATTTTAAATTAAGAGGTATTGTATATACACTTGTTGGGCCTTCATAATTCGCAAGTGAAACACTTCATTTGCAGTTTTCACATTCACAAATGGTCGTTTTGATTTTCTGCTATAACTTTTCTTCTGTCAGGTTCTTGAGGTGCTCTGTCCAATTAAGCAGTTCCTATTTTACAGTCATCTTGGACTCTTCTTGTGGCAGTGCCTTTCTCCCCTTGCAATATTTGATGTCTTTATGCCCTTGCTGAGGCTCCTTCTGGACTTTCTATAAAGCAAACCTAGAGCAGAGGATGGCAAACTGGGGACTTCCATTTGAGTAAACCCTGCTGCTGCCCCATTAACTAATCTTTAATTCATCAGGCCTTCTTTTGATGATTTCGAGTCCATACTTCTACCTCAACTCAATTATGTTCTGAAGGTCTTGTAAAAATAAATCCAGTTGATCAGATTTCTATTGAATTCCTACTGCGCTGAGATATGTAGAATTGTAAAAGTTACACTAAATTTAGGCAAGCCTTGTCTGAAAAATGTGAAGCCTTTGCTTTACACATGCTTTGGTGGCTCTGTCATGCTGTGAACTAATTTACTAACTTTGAATGTATTTTGCAAGATTCCTTATTCTTCACACTTAATCATGCTTTTGCAATGACTTCCTCCTTCAGAAAATATGGAAACATAGCTCTTCAGAACGTCAGTATTCTGTACTATGTACTCATATGCTTGTGATCTGAACAACCAATAAAGCCTGTTTTGATTTGTGTTTTAAATGCTGGTTAGTAAAATTCAAATGCAGCCAGAATAATCGAGACTTCTTATGTCAGTTGTCAAACTCATTCCATTACTGCCTGGCCTCTTCTGCCAGAAAATATGACTTGTTAATTGAGAGCACTGTTTCCTTTTTTAAATGACTGGTTATTAAAAACTTCTTGACAGCACAGCTGTGTGAAGGAGGGAAAGAAATAAATGTGTGTTGGAAGGAGTTGAGTATGTGATTGAGATAATGACAGTGGGATCTGTGGCGGTGGTGGGTTTGCCCAAGAAACATGAACAAAGTCTTAAACTTTGTAGGTGATGTTGATTTTGTAGTAATTATTTCAAGGGACTAGATTGGACATAAGCTATTTTAGCTCCTGGAATGAGTGGATATTTAAACAGGTATCATGTTTGTATTTCTTTTAATTATACTCTGCTCCTATTTCTTGTTTGAACTTTTTAGTAATTGCAGGCAACTTGACCTTCCTTTTCATGTTATGAATGTCACAGTGCAGTTGTGCTTTAGCATATGGCAAGTTTGTGTATCTAAAATATTTTTAGTGTACTGCAGTTTTTAGTGATTTCTAATAACAAAATTGGCTACCCTCGTTGCCCAGTTTATGAAATTTGTCTGTTGTGTTGAGATACTTTATTTGTTTGGAAATAGCTTTTCTCATGTTACATTTTTAGTACAATATTGGAGTAGACGGGTTCCCAATGGGGATGTAATAGTTTGGGTAATACAGAGTATTATGTATCTGTAGCAGTTATATAGCTTTTGCCAAGTTGTCTGTCTTGGTTGCTATCATTTTTCAAAAAGAAATGCTACTGAGAATCAAACAAGCTCTTGGAAAGGGAAATGTCTAGAGCAGGGGATCCCAAAATGTGGTACTTGTAATCATTGGTGGTAAGTGAGCTTGATGTTCCATCACTCATTTCACAGCAATTTTTAAGAAGGTTGTACATGCACCAATGAAGTTTGGGAGCTGCTGGACTAGAGCATCACTGGGAGAGGTCTTATGCTGAGTATGATTGCTTATGGCATAAAGACTTTTTGAAATTGTATGCTATGACTGTGTAGGAAGCATACAGAAGTTTATCTGATTCCATTAGCATCTACAAATTCTTGAACATCTGAATTGTTCCAGGTGTTGAAGAGCGTGGTTAATCCAGGATGTATCCACTTGGGTACAGAGTCAACTATTCATACAACGAGGTGTGTTCAAGCTAATTCAGTCCGATTTTGAGGAATCTTAGCTATGAATTCTCTCACCCTTGGTAGCAGAACCATGGATGGAGAGAGTGATGGAAGGAGGAAAGGCAGGGACAAATAAGGAGTCTTCCCTGCTTGAGTTTCAGCCTGGTTTTGGAGGGTCTGGAAAAGCTCTGAGCAACAACCTGTGAATTGGATCTGTTCTTCGCTGCAGAGGTAGCTGTTCCATTCTTGTCACTTCCCTTTGAGAAAGTAGGATGCCAACATCTCTTACTAGACAGCTGCTCAAGAATCTGTTTCTTGACTGAAAGAATCATGTCAGTTATCACCCTGTACTGAATCTCCCAGCTGAGATTGGGGCGGGGGGGGGAGGGGAGGAGGAATGTTATTGATAAAGTTTTATAGTAGTAATTCTCACTGTAGCTGGAGTCTTCCAGTTTCGTAAACCGCAATCAGTCTAGCTTTAGTCCTGTATATGATGCAAACAGTGCACTGGTTGCCTTGCTGGTTGATCTTTCTCATAGTGGATAACCAGATGTCTTTGCAGATTATTTTAGATCTGTCAGCATATTTTGATACAATTGAAGACAAAGTGTCATTGACATGCCTGCAGGAATGGATGGAGTTGCTAATTTGTGACTCCTATCTCTCCTGACTTGTTTATCCCAAAGATTCATTTGCAAGCTTCTTCAGGGTTCTAGTTTGTTGCCCCAGCTGCCCAATGAGAGGCTGTTAGGGAGAGGCTTGTGGGGTGTGTGCTGCGTTTGGTGTGTGTGTGAGATACCCCTAGCTTTGCTTCAGTTTTATTGGACCAGGATGTGTATTTGAGTGATTCACTCAATGTCTAATCAAGATTAGGATTTAATATGACTGATATCAGAGCTCTCTGATATTCAACCTAGTTTAAACTAACGTTATCCTTTTAGACTATGGGAAGCAGCCAGAAGAAAGGGCAGCAGTTCTTCAGTCTCCTTTGATTATGTGAGTGTGTGTCTGCTGTTTGTCAAATTCACAGCCTTGGTGTTTTAATAGTATATCCAGGTAGCAGATTTGTCATGACTTTTCTTTTTCTCCCATCCGCACATCATGAAGGCTGCAACATTTATATCCATTGTGGCCTTTGCTACAGTTAGCCATAATCATACCTTGAGATTGGATTACTGTAATGCACTCTACATGACATTATATCTGAAGACCATTCTAAAACTTCAGCTTGCACAGAATGTAATGACCCACTTAAATAGCAGTGCTTCCTTCAGAGGTGGGGGAAGAGGGGGCACTTTACTCCTGTACTCTATGACCTGAATTGGCTTCCAGTTTTTCTGGGTATAATTCTAAGTGATAGTTTAGACGTATAAAACTCTAATTAGTTGAGTCCTGTCTACCTTAGAAACCATCTCTCATCATAAGATATGCACAGTTGAGATAAGCAGAGGCACTCAGGCTCAACAACCTCCTGGTTCAGCCAGGAAGAATCCGATGGCAGGGCATTTTCAGTAAGGGGGACCCCTCTACTTTGAAAGTGACCTTCACGACACATTGCAAGGCCTTTTTGATTTGCCAGGCTTTCAAGAACAGACTGCATTGTTGGGTGGGTTCTGTGAAGGTTAAAGAAATAGAAACTGTTGATCCTAATGTGGATAAAAAAGTTGCTGTTGTTCAGTTTACCTTGTAAGCTTTGTGTATGTTCTTTTAACTCCAATGTGACTAGGATGGGCATGTTTTATAATTCACAATGAATAAAATAAAATGTTATTAAATTTGTTTTTTATCATGCACAATAATAGTTCAGGTTGACTAGAGTTCTGCTTTGGTAAATGTTTGCCCTTGTTTGGACATTGAAGGTGTGAAATGTCACGCAGTTTGTTAAACAGGCAGCTTCTCTACAGGAAATTAGGATTGACACCAAACAACCTCTCTTGCCTTTGGTAGTACATATACATTATTGTTAAGAGTTAGGGTGTGTAAGGAAGCCATATGTTCTGGGCTTTGTCCTTTGGTCTTTATAGACACAAAATTTTCCTTTCACCCTTTAAAAACAACAAAAAAAAACAAACCCAGAAACTGTAACTACATGATTTGACATAACACACCTTTTATAGACTTGATGCTGGTGACCATTATTATTTTATATTTATAACACCCACAATGTACAAAGTACTGTCCATACATACGAAGACACAATCCCTGACCCAAAGAATTCAGTCAAAGGTCATTTGATGATTGTTTCTCTCTTCTTTTCTTTTTTCCCCCTCCCTTCAGATTTGTCACGGAACAGACTTTCGGAACTTCCTGCAGAAGCGTGTCACTTTGTTTCCCTTGAGAGCCTTAACTTGTACCAGAACTGCATTCGTTACATCCCAGAGGCCATCCTGAACCTACAGTCTTTAACATTTCTAAATATCAGGTACCATCACATTTAAATCTTGATTTTAATATCCATGTTATAGACTCTAGCAACCTTTGGAGCATTAGAAGGTAACACAAATATAGTGTATAACCTGTGTGTCTTGGTATTATAACGTGCCATCAGATTCACCAGTCTGGACCAGTCTCTACCAATTACCTCAATGAGGAGACATCAGATAGTAATAATCTTAATTTTTGACACTTCTGGATTCATGTTAACTACCTGAACTCTCCTTCTGCATGCTTGCTCCAAATCTTGGCAGCCACTGCTCCTTCTTTGTGATCTCAAACATATCCCATCTGGCCAGTATTTGAGGGCATAGGAAAGATAAATTGCCTACTTGTCCTCATTATCTAGTCTGGATTCCTTTTGCTGTCTCTCTCCAATTTATTTTTTCATACAGGTCTGTAATGTGAAGGGATTTGTTTTTTGTTTTCTTTTCTTTTCTATGGGATCTTTAAATGACAGTTCTTGAGGTTCTGGACTGTAAATGAACTTTTCTGGGTACTATAAGTAATGAAAGAAGAAGGATGATCTTGTAGACAAAGCACGGGATTGGGACTCAGGAGATCTGAATTCTGTTCCCAGCTCTACCACAGGCTTACTGTGTGATCTTGGGCAAGTCACTGCACCTTTGTGCCTCACTTTCCCCATCTATAAAATGGTGACATCTACCTCATAAGGGTATTGATTGATGAATGTTTGTAAAGTGCTTTGAGATTTTCTGGTGGAAGGTTCTATAGACCTGAAAGGGCATTTATTATTATTAGCACTAGTGATACTAACACCAGCACCTGTTTATTACATGTTCTTCTTTCTCCTATTGCTGTGTGAAAGACCCATGCAAATGGCTAACAGCCTGGCTATGCAGGGGAAATGGTAAAAATAACTGTACTCAAAATGTTGTAAAATTCTCAAAGTAAATAAGCTGAAAATATACTAATTTTAGGTGTAGTAAGTTTTAAAAATATTTTCAGGCATAATTTGTAATTTTGAAATTGGCAGAGTCCCTTAAACTGGAGTTGCTGGCTTTTCTTTGCAGCTGAGGTGATGTTAATAATCATACTTAATTTCAAATTATGATCTGCTAGGATGTGAGGGCACTTGTAGGTCTATAATAAAATATCCTTGCTTCTTATTGATGACAGTTGGGTGTTGATAAACGATTGTGAATTGTGCAATCGTGCTAGTTTTAAATAAAATAGCAAAAATCACCTGTGGCTAGATTTTTCTAATCCTTTGGGACTTTTTCCTATTGGCTTTAGTTAGTATGTAACTCTTACTATTTCCTTGAGCTTCTATGGTATAATCAAAAGTTCAGGCTTGGATGAGGAGTGGGTCAGGTAAAGAAGTAGAAATGAGCTGCAGCTGAAGTAGTGCAGACAGATTCCGACCCAAAATAAATACATCAGTTTCAGTGACTGAAGCCACGTGGAAAGCCTTTGAATAAGGTAGCTACCTGAGTAGCTGGAGGCCTCTCTTTTTTTAATCACTACATTAAAGCAAGCAACTTTAGCTCAGTTTACACTGTTTATATCAAATCTTTGTGATCCTGTTTAGACTTAAGTTATCAAAGCAAAGGTCAATCAAGAGTGATTAAGCATTATTAAGAGAAATTGGCATCTTTGAGTTATATAATGTCAGAAAATAGATGTCTGAGTAGTTCTCCGTATGCGAAGACTTTTTATAAAAGATGTCTGTAAATTTAGGTATTTTACAGTACATCTTGAATGCAAAAAAAATAATTTCATGCTTACTAGATTCCTAAAATAAAAGGAATGGACCAATGCTAGTAAAAATGCTGTTTTAAGAGATTGTTTTGAAAATAAGATGTCTCAGACTGACATGGAGGAGATGACTAGCAATTGTGCAAATTGCTCAGAATTTCTTTTTTCTAAAGCTAGTCGGCATATTGAACAAATTGCTGAAGTCAGAGGAAGTAAGCAGTGTAAATCTACTCAAGACAGAGTTGGACAGTCTCTTTTTGTATGTGCATAAATAGAGAGCAAGGATAGAGCCAATAATTAAATATGTGAGGCTGAGAGAAGTAAATGTTTCTTGGGTTTGTAAGTTACACATTGAACAGATCAAGCATATTTCCTCTTTTAAAACTGGTGTAATTCAGAAGTAGTTTAAATTGAATTAGCAATAAAAGCATAATATTGCTTTTTTCCTTTTGATGAAAAATGTACTACGTTAGCTGTTTTTACCTTAAAAAATACTTAACTTTAAAAATAGTGGCCATTGACCATGTTTTAACTACATTTTAAATTGTGAATACCCACCACACGTGTATTTCAGAATATAATCTATATTAACTGTATATGCAATAAATTTTCTTGAATGCACAGTATTGATTGCACAGTATATTGTTTGTCTATGCACCTTAGGCATTGTATAGGAGCACTTTTTTGTATTTAAATCAGTGATGTAAAATACACATCCAGGATTTATTGTCTAAAAATATAGAATCTGGTGCTATCAATTTCACTCATTCTTGTGGGTTTCCTTCCTTGCTTTGAAAAGCAAAACCTTGCTCGTAAATAAGGGCCATTGCTCCTTGAATAACTAGATAAAGATAGGAAGTTATTGATAGTAAGGTGAGGGGTATGATGGGAAACTAACAACTGACAAAGACAACCCAAAACTTAGTTTAATTCCAACTGTATGAAATCTCTCTCTTGTGAAATAGAAGCCAGTATTCGTTGGACAAAATCTAGATATATTTGTTTAAAAGAGAGAAGACTGATTCGTCTGTTAGCCTTTTAAGTGTCAACACTTATTAGCTGTCAAGAAGTGTCCCAAGAAAGAGAAGTATTTAATTGCAACTTCTAAGGCTAGGTCTACACTATCCGCCTGAATCGGCGGGTAGAAATCGATCTCTCGGGGATCGAATTATCGCGTCTCGTCGGGACGCGAGAATCGATCCCCGAATCGACGCGCTTACTCCACCAGCGGAGGTAGGAGTAAGCGCCGTCGACGGGGAGCCGCGGAGGTCGATTTTGCCGCCGTCCTCACAGCGTCGTAAGTCGGCTCCGATACGTCTAATTCAGCTACGCTATTCACATAGCTGAATTTGCGTATCTTAAATCGACCCCCCCCTGTAGTGAAGACCTGCCCTAATAAAGTACAGGGAATTTTCCTTTGAGTACATTGCACTGGTAGATTTTAAACAGTTTTTTACAAAACATAAATACATATGTCTATCTGTAATAAAACTTAATTTCCTGACCTGTAATATAACCATGTTGTATCCTATTATTGAAGTTCAACTGTATACTGCAATCTGCATTATTAAAACCAATGTTTTAAGAGGTATGCAGAACCCCTGTTCACAAACTAGTAATGATATTAGTTAAGGAAAAAAAAAACATTTTGCATTACATCTGGTGTTACCCCTTTGCCAATTAAATTTTGTTTATCTTCCTTTTTTGCTTTATGGTGTGCATTGTAGGAATAGGATATGAGTCAGTGATGGGTTTCCTATTGCTGTGATCTCTAACAGGTGTATTTGAAATTATTATTCCTTGATACCAGCTGACATTAGTTCGTCTACTGCTCAGGAGTAGGATTATGTAGTGGGAAATTTAGACTCCACACACTAGAAGAACAATGCCACATTTTGATAAACTTGAGTTTAGTATCTTGTTAAAACCTCCTTAAGGTAACATTAACTTTTTCCTAGTTTTCCAGTCATTTTCCAGTCTGATTGCTTCCGTTTACAAATAAATCATAGCATTCTCATTTTATAAACCAACCTCTTCCTGTCTGATTCATTCACTGAGGTTGCAGTCCAGTTACATGACCTCATGTTTGCTTTGATGGTTATAAATTGTGATGTGTCAAATACTGGATTGTAACATGTCCAAATTCATTGCAACAAGGATTTCTTAAATGCTTATCACCATGATAATTGGCCCTATTACAAATTAAATAATGAAAACACACACTTAACATTTCTACTGAGCAAGTAATATGCTGATTCTACCCTACGCTGTTCCCCACATGCTAATCCGCAGTAAAAAAATAAGAAAATGGTGTCTGCATGATGCCTAAATATGGCCAGACTCTGAAAGAGGAAAGTAAGCTCCAGAGCCTAAAAGCCTCTTACAAAAATGCCCTATCCCCCCATCCCCACGAGTAGTAGCCGATTCAGAGCTTCTGTTTACAACACATCTTGGTAAAGCAAAGGATAAGAAAGATGTGTAAAGAAGAGACTGCGAGATACCAGCTCACTTGTAAATGTGTCTCGAAACTGACTTGATGCTCTTACATCCTGTCAAAATAGAGTACATGATTTTGAGATTCTCTTATGTTGTGTTAAAATTGGTAAATGGTCTCTTCCCACATTCTGACTTTTTTTTTTCCCTGTCCGAAAGTCGAAACCAGCTTTCAACATTGCCAGTACACATGTGTAGTCTACCGTTGAAAGTTTTGATAGCAAGTAATAATAAGTTGGTCTCACTACCTGAAGAAATTGGACAGCTCAGACACCTGACAGAGCTTGTGAGTATATACTTATTGTTAATGATTGCTGTTCTGTCCTTAGTTTATAAATGATTTACTCTAGTGGGTTTAAATTTCATTGAGATGAAATAACTTTATTGACTGAGGGAGGAAGGATGGTCCAGTGATTAGGATACTAGCCCAGGATTCATGAGACCAGGTTCAATTCCTTGATGTGTCACAGACTTCCTGACTTTGGGCAAGTCTCTCTGTGCCTCAGTTCTCCATCTGTAACGTGGGGATAATAGTACTGCCCTACCTCACTAGGGTGTTATGAGAGTAAATACAGTTTAAAGATTGTGAGGTGCTCAGATACAACAGTAATGGGGTCCAGATAAATACCTCAGATAGAATCAGAATGGAACTTTGTTTAAACAAATACTGTGCTACTAAGACATCCACGTTAATTTATCATATATTCTGCATTCCAGATAAAAGTTCCGTGTGGGTGACTCCGGCTCCCTGCCATACACATATTATCCTATAAATAGAGTGTACAGTACTGTATTAGCTAGAGTCTGATGTCCCAGGATCTCTCCATATCTGGTAGAGACAGTTGCAAGTGGTGATATATATGACATTATTTGTTCATAGAGTGTAAGGCCAGAAGGGACCAATAGATCATCTGGTCTGGCCTGCTGTGTATTACAGATCATTGATTTTTGCCCAGTTAACCCTGTGTTGAGCCCAGTAACTTGGGTTAGACTAAAGCATTTCAGTCTTCAGGAGACTAACTGTTGTGTGCCACAGGCAGAGAACAGGAGAGAGTGAGGTGCCACCAATGCCCCTGCAGTCTCAGGGAATTGGTTAGGTGGGATATGCCCAAACGATCCTAGTAGGTGATCTATGCTCTATGTTGCAGAGAGAGGCAAAAAAACCTCAAAGGTCCCTACTAATCTGACCAGGGAAAAATTCCTTCCCAACTCCAAATCTGGTGATCAGGTACCACCTCAGAGCACTGGTCCACCACCTCCGGCATCATATCTCCAGCTAAGGTCAATTCCTAATGCTTCACAGAGGGGTGGGGAAAAATATAGAATACAAATGGCCAATTGTTCATTGGGGAAAAATTTTCTTCCTGACCCCTGCAGCAACCGTCTGAAGCATAAGATTTGATTATAGTCATTATCTTAATGCAGAGCTGCAAGTGTTATGAGCATGTTGAGTGCAATGCAGAGCTGTTCTCTCCATGGCCCATCAAGGGGAGAGAATGAACAGGGGGATTCATAGACTCTAAGGCCAGAAGGGACCACCATGACCTTCCAGCCTGACACACCCCTCCCTCCCAGAAACTGGATTAAAGCATTTATTTTAGATAGATACTCAATATCATTGTAAAGACTCCAAGTGATGGTGAGTCCACCCCCACCCCTGGTAAGATGTTCCAGTGTTTAATTTTCCTCATTGCTAGGAAATTGCATCTTATTTTAAGGTTGTGCTTGTCTAACTTCAGCTTCCGGCCATTGGATCTTGTTATGCCCTGGTCTGCAAGACTGAAAATCCCCCACTAGCAGATAACTTTTCTGTGTAAAAATACCTAGACACAGTGGTCAGGTCACCTCTCAGCCTTCTCTTTGATAAGCTGAATAGATTAACCCCCATAAGATTCACATCATAAGATTTATTTTTCAGTCCCAGAATGATTTTTGTCATCCCCTTTCAGACTCTCTCCATTATTTCCACATCCATCTTGAAGTGTGGACACCAGAACTGGACACAATATTCTAGTATTTGTAATGAATGCCTGAAAGCTCTAGCTAGAAATGTTGCTCTGATACATTGAAGTTCTACTTACTTCATTTTCCAGCTGTCCTAGAGATGATCTGAGGTAGCTCACTCACTTCTTTAGCTTTAGTAGCCTTTGCCAAATTACAACAGTCAGACAAGGCTGTTGGATGTCAATTGTGAGGAACAGCCTAGCCCTCTGAGGTGCACTTGACATGGAGATCAGTTTTCATGAACATGTCTATTGGATGAGCTTGACCTGACACCTTAGGCTTGAAATTGGAGTTTTATTTCTCCTAGCCTCCCCTGCCCCAGCAAGACTTATTTTAAGGCAGTCTTTATTTGCCTTGACGTCCTGATCTTAGGGAGTGATATTTTAGAGAGGTAGCCAGGCCACCAACTACCCCTCCTGAGACATGTCGCCAGTTGGTCTGCAATGGCTTATTGAATATTTGCAGGTGTCCTGCATATCTGCAGGACGTTCCACTTATCTGCCATCCCGGGATATTCTTGGTGGGAATTGGTCGCTCCTATACAGATAGCTATCTTATTTTCTTTTTCAAATACTTCAGCTTTTAATTTAGTTTTTCAGTGTGTTTATGAACTTGCGGATTTAAAAAACAACCTAGACAACTTGACATGTTAGAGACAATTACAATAGAATCTTGATAAGTGTGTAACTCATATTTGGGAATGGCACAGAATTACAAAAGTACCTGTATTCTTTAATGGGAGAGACAAGGAAGGCAAGGTAATATCTTTTATTGGACCAGCTTCTGTTGGTAGAAGGGACAAGTTTTCGAGCTTCACAGAGCTCTTCTTCATGCCTGGAGAAAGTAAGCAGAGTATCTGAGCTAAATACAAGGTGGGAGAGATTGTTAAACATAAGGGATTCACACATGCACGTTTCAGTCCTACAAGCATATATTCTTTAATGATATACTCTGAGTATTCCTCGTGTGTGTGTACATTTGAGATTTTTGTTTAAAGCTTGGCATTCCGTAAAAGACAAATAGTGAGAAGTGAAGTGCACTGGTAGAGCTAAGGGCTACACCACATAGCTCTACTAGGGCTTTTCACTTTGTTCCCTGGCTGCCTGCTGCATATGCCTGCTAATGCCCAGATGCATGTGAGGTTAATATAATTTTTGGGTGAGTTATTTAGTCTGGGCTGGCTTTTGTATTGGCAATTTAGTATGTATTTTATCCTTTTGTGTGTTCTAAATGTTGTTGTAACATTGCCTAGAGGTTATGAGGATAGGCCCTTGAAAATATCCAGATCAAGTACATGGCAGGTAGTGTGTTTCTCCAGGCTCTCCCACTTCAGAGTCTGTGGAGGAATGGGAAATGGGCAATCTGTGGAGGAATGATAGAAATTTACGCGAACATGCTAGTTTGCTAACTTAATATACATGGAAATATCATTATAGCTTCACTTTTTCCATAATGTGTAACTTGTCTAAAGAGCTTTTATGATCTAGTGTCATTTTTCCTGGGTTCATTCTTTTCTTTGCTCTGCTGTTGTTGGGAGACTGAAAAAAATATTTTGTGCCTCTGTTTCCCCATCTGTAAAATGGAGATAATTAATACTTTGTCACAATGCTGAAACTTAATGAATGTTAGTAAAGCACTCTGACAATCTTAGGTGTCATAGAAGTGTTTATTTTTGACAAGTTTATAAATAAAACACTGCCTGTCAGAGTTAATGTACATACACCTACAAAACCAGAAGGCAGGAATTGCCTATTAGCATTGGGATTTATTTAAACAGGCTGACAGTATCAAAACAGTGGCTCACTTTGTAGTTTTGTATTGCAGGATGTGAGCTGTAATGAAATACAGACAATACCTCCACAGATTGGCAGTCTGGAGTCTTTGCGTGACCTGAACATCAGGAGAAATCATTTGGTGCATTTACCTGAAGGTGAGATCAGCAGATAAAAGTCTGTCATATGTAACAACTGAGATTTTTGACACTTTTATTCTTTTTAAAGCTTGTTTTCCTAAGAGCTAGTAGTAAGCTTACTCTTTATTATAGCTGCTAGATTGAATGTTTGTTTTCTATCTCCAGAGCTTGCAGAATTGCCTTTGATTCGATTCGATTTCTCCTGCAATAAAATCACAACAATTCCTGTTTGTTATCGGAACCTCAGGCATCTTCAGACAATCACACTAGATAACAACCCTCTACAGTCACCCCCGGCACAGGTGAATTAAAGTTTGGAATTAGAATCTCTGCTATTTTCACTAGAGGATGTAAAGTGAGATTAGAAACTGAATGGTTCAAACTTTCTTTTGTGAACAATAAGATTTGAAAGAACCTGTATTTCTCTAGAGACCTTAAAGAAACCCATGGCAGAAATACTCTTCCACTTCCCTTAATTTAGTTCTGCTACTGGTAGTAGGTATGTGGTGACTGCAGGAATTCCTTCGTTAGCCTTTTGAATAAAATTCTCATTGTACAGTATAAGTAAAAAAGTGGCTCTAGATCAGAGTAAGCTTTGGGGGAGAGGAAGAGCTATGAACAAAAAACATTTTTGAGCCATTCTACTGTTGAGGTAGTGAACTGGGAACCTAAAAGTGCAATGCATTTTCATTCATTTTACAGCAGCCTGCAGGCTAAATACAATGTGGTCAATGGCTGACTTCATCTTTAATATGTATGTATGGCCCTGGGGAATGACCTGCTTCCTCTGAATAAGAATGGGAAGTGCTGTGACCTATAGTTTCCATAGATTCTGCCTCCATATTAAAGATGAAGGGAGTTAGAATTGGCTTCGCTTGATTCAAATTAGGCCTGGCTCTTGGCAGCTAGGTTGGGCAAGGTTTGGATGCCTCTGCTGTAGTTCCAAGTTTTACCCCTTACAAATACATATAGCTCCTTGTTCACATAGAAGACCATTGGCATGATAAACTCTTATGAGCAAGCTTACAGAAAGGGCTCCAAACAGTCCAGATGTTTTTGGAAAAAGCTTCCAGTTTTTTATTATACATATATTCTGTGACACTTCAATATGATGGTTTGTTTGTAATGGGAGAAGGTTCAAAAAATGGATGAAGAGCTGTAAGGATGTTATAAGTTCACAACAGCTAGTTAATGTCTGTACAGCGCTTTGATGAAATAAATATGTTTATGGATTTCCTTTTTTGTAGATATGCATAAAAGGAAAAATTCACATATTTAAATACCTGAACATAGAAGCATGCAAGATAGCTCCAGACTTGCCTGATTATGATAGGAGGCCCATGGGATTTGGCTCTTGGTAAGTTTGTGCATATTCTGTTTGATGTGGATTGGGGAAAACTTGTCTACTCTCTTGAATTCAGAAGAGGCAGAAACTAGATCCACTGATTGTTGGTTAGTGTACATTTCACCAACGATTGTGGCCTTGAAGAACATTGTGGTGTGTGTCACCCTGTGAACTGCTCTAGCAGGAGTCCAAGCAAGATAGTTAAGGAAAAATGAAGTAATATCACAATTCAGCCAGTGCTAAAGGGCACACCTTCTCAAGGGAAAAAAAAAAGTTTGGTGTCTTCAGGCTATGGTAGAAGGAAGTTCTGTTTTTAAGACATTAATCTATGTTTTTACTTAATAAAATCTTAGGGTTTTCCCAATATCTACTATAGTCTAACATTGTTGTGATTTTTAATCTTTTGTACAGGATTGTATAATTGTTCTGCTGTAACTACAGGTATAAGTGCTGATCTCACCCCATTAGTAAACTGTTTTATTTTTGGCAGGCTTTCATTTGACACAAATGTTTAATACAGTAACACAGGTATTAGAACGGTCAACCACATCAGCTTCTAAATTAAGATGTCGAGGGGAAGAGTAGGAGTACACTATATATTTATACTACACATTTAAGAGAAAAGCAAAGTAATGAGGAAGGAGACTAACTAGAAGAAAAAGAATATATTCCCAGTGATCATACAAACTAACACCGAGCCAGAGGGAATATATATCTGTAACGGGCACCATGGGCTGAACACAATTCATGAATAAAGCAAATAAGCCTGTGCAGTTGTACCAAAGATCTGTGAAGGAGAATTTACGCCAACAGGCAGCTCCTCATCAAGTCTGGAACCCACATTTGATAAGCACCTTTGCAGATGGGGTCAACATGAACGCTTTCTGAAAGTCACTTGTCTCTTTAGAGTGTAATCTCTTTGGGACAGGGACCCACACTTAGCATAATCAGGTGCTATTTGAGACAAATAAAGTTGTGGCATATAAATCAGAGTATGTGATTCTAGCCTGTATGTGACCCAGGTGAGGCCGCATTTGGAATACTGTTTAGATTAAAATTATTTAGGTCTCCTGTTAGCTAAATTTATAATGCTGTCTTAGTTTCTTATTATAATAAAGTGCATATTGCAAAAAAGAAGCTGATACAGGGATCTAAGGAGCATCTGTATTCAGAAAGGCTAAGGAAATTGGGGCACCCTTATTGTGACATAAATTGCCCAGTCCAACCAACTGTATCTAAAGCTATTGATCTCCAGTGTAGTTTATTTCTTTTGAAAAGCATAAAATCAATAAGTAGAGTATGTGTTTACTGAAAAGATTTTCGTTTCATGTAATGAAAGAATTCACATATTTTACTATTACTCACAGTACCAATATAAAAGCTTGGGCAGAACCCACTCAGGATGCTTCTTCCAGATGGTCAATCTAACTTCAAGCTTGTGTGGATTGGCTTGCTTTTGTCCATGTCTCCATCCCTGCCAGGCACCATGAAAGTAGATATATCTGAAGTGGATAAGAGAGATGGCATAGAACTCTTTGTTGCTCATGTGCTGATTAGATCACTTACCAGTCTCTTTTAGTGGCTCCCACAGTGGCTTCGCTTGCAAATTGAGCAAATATGTGTGGAAGAGAATAGATTTCTGCAGGAACCCACATAAAGGAGCCAATGGAGAAGATGAGCTGCTGCCCAAAATGAGAATTTCTTCTAGAATTTCTGAGATGAAAGAACAGAACAACTCATGCACAATATAGTGTACTCCAGTTAATGCCCATAGGCAAGTCAACAGAGCCTTTGGTCAATGATATCAAAGGCTACTGACAGAACTAAAAATAATCAGAATATATATCTGACCTTTGTCTTTTGCTCTATGGAGGTTATATAATGACCCTGGGCAATTTGAAAAAGCATGGAATTAAACCTGAGTTGATGTAAAGCTGGTTTCAAAGCTAGTGTGACAGTTACCAAGCTAGCTGCACCACAGTCCTTTCTCAGGGTCTCACTGACTGCACCCCAACAGGTGTCAGGCCTTGTGGCTTTGCCCCTTCTGGGGTGGACTTCTTTGAAAGTGTGTGCCTGTGGCTGTCTTATCTCTTAGGTTATGTGTGCACTGCAGCTGGGAGGTGTAATTCCCAGCTCGAGTAGACTTCCATGTGGTAGCTCTGCTTTAACTAGCATGCTAACAATAGCAGTGTGGCTGCATGGGCAGCTGCTCAGATTAACTGCCTGAGTATGTACCTAGGATCTCAGGGCATGTCTACACGGATCGGTGGGTAGTGATCGATCTATCAGGGATCGATTTATCGCGTCTAATATAGACGCGATAAAATCAATCCCCGATCGCTCTGCCGTCGACTCTGGAACTCCCACCGCAGCGAGAGGTGGAAGCGGAGTCGATGGGGGAGCGGCAGCGGTCGACTCGCCGCCGTCCTCACGGCCAGGTAAACCAACCTAAGATATGCCGTAGCTGAAGTTGCATATCTTAGGTCGGACCCCTCCGCCCCGCTAGTGTAGACCTAGCCTCAGAGGGATTGTACCCAGGCAACTAGCTCAAGCTGGTGGAGTTCTGGAGCTGATGGGAGCACGTTTGGGGATCGATGTATCGCGTCTAGATGAGACGCGATAGATCGATCCCTGATAGATCGATCCGGCGGGTAGTCTGGACGTACCCTAAGTTGTATTTCCTGCCTAGACCAACCCCCAGCTCTGGTCTGACTTAACCTTTGAGTTCAAGTAGGCAGCAGTACAAAACTGAAGAGGGAAACAGTCACATAGTATTCATAAGAATAATGCAGATATCACATGTAGTAGTTTCACTGCAATTTTATGCAAATGTAAAAATCTCTGATTAAGTGGACAAACTTGTAGTGCTGCTAGTGAAATCAGAAGCACTAAATCATTGTAGATTCTGACAGGAGAAAATTTTGGCTTCTTTATATATAAATATTTCTAATTGAAAATTTTGCTGCTTGCCCACACTGCCCTTTTTTTTTTTTTTTTTTGGACTCATGTAAAGTTATCCTAAACACAATACTAGTGCCCTCTCCTATGTTTTACCCAGTTTTTAAAACTATTGCTTTATTTAATTGTTACTACCATTTTCAATAGAGAACTGGTTCCCTGCCTTTCAGACGATTGTATCAGTTTACCAAGATAAGATATTGACTGTACCGATCAGTGTCTGTAGACTCCTGTTAAGTTATGTGACCTTTAACCTTTAGGGTGTTCCAGACCAATCTCTTAGCTGTGAGACTGAAATGTGGAGCGCTCAAGCTCAACATTGGATCATGCATGACTGAATGGAAAGGAGGCAGCAGCAGTGTCTCACAGGAGCCTAGCACTAGGTTCAGTGTTGAGGTAGGGAGGGTAAGTCTGGAATGCGAGACATAAAAGTTTGAAGTACTGGTACATGGATCACTGGAGGAGGAATCATTTGTACTGATTAAGTTTTGAAAGACTCTGGTAGTTCTATTCCGCGAATAGAAAGGAGATTGACATATATGCATGTATTACACTGTGACTTCAGAACTCTGGCTGTGAGTGATGATCTCTTCATGTCAGTGGCACATCTTATTCCCCTTATTTTTATGGATAAATTTATTTTCATTACAAAAAGACACTGCATTTCAAGTGATTATTGCACTTCTCAGGTGGTTAGCTACTCTACCTTCAGCTTCATGCCTTATGCATTGGAACCCAAGCATGCTGTAAAAATGTACTGCCCACTGTCTTACTGCTTAATTATTGCTGCTTGCAGCCAGCTAGTCAGTGAGGAATAGGATCTGCAGTCTCTGCTGATTTCTTAAAGGCTGTTGTCTGTAATGAACATATAAAGCCCTGAGCAGTCAGTAACCCTCTGTTTTCAGATTTTTCTGAGGGGAAAGCGTGGGAACTGTGAACTGTAACTGTGAATTTCTGAGTTACCAGACAGTCTCAGTGATGATTAAGTATTTTTCAAAAGCTGTAATTGAATAGGAGGGATAGAATATGAAGAAAATAGAATATGAAAAAAATAGAATCAAACAGTATTTTTCCTTTTGGATTAAAACTATTGAATTTTGATCTTCTTCAATTTTAAGTGCTTGTTTTTCAGTGCAAAATTGGTTTCTCTTTAGATTTTCAGGATACTGATGCAGTCATGATTAAAATGGAATTATTGTAGTGTGTCATGTGGGAACCAGTTTCTCATTTTATTTCTCCCTTTATAATTTAAAAAAAACAGTGGTTTTGATCCAGTAATTAGGTGTTGTGAATTATTGGCTTAAATGTGGTCACTATGTAGACTGTTACATGTGCTACCTGAAGTTTTCTTTCCCCAGCTGGTCTTTAATTGAAAAACAATATTACCATTGTCTGTATAATGTGTAGTACTTTGTTAGGATATTTTTTTGCCTTAAAAGTAGACTACAGTGTCTTGTAGCTATATATTCCCGGGGCCACTGTATGCATTGTTAACTCTTTCTATAGAACAAAAGGCATGACACAGCTAATACATTTAAAAATCCAGAGGTTTTTTTTAACTACACTGAGCAATTTTAGAATTATTCTTTTCTCCTCTCACCCAAAAGAAGTGAGTTGTGGTTCCCTTCCCATCTTTGTTGCTGAAGGATCCCTAATATGAATATTATCTTTGTTTAGCATCACTGAGTTCCATTCTTGCCTTCATTCCAGATGCCATCCCCAGACTTTAGTACATGACTTAAATCTTTTACAAACTCAGAGGAACAAACATAGTGCTAGATCCTGCACATTGATCCATACAGTCAGAGCCCCAGTAACTTAAACGAGGCTCTGTGTAGTGTTAAGAATCCGCCTGTGAATCCTTTTGCAGATGTGTACATAAAAATAAGCATATTTCACTTCTGCAGCTCTTGTTCCCTCATCCTTTATCCCTTAGTTCTTCTTTGAGTAACGTCCCTATGGGTGCTCCATTTCATGTGTGCTCACACCCCTTTCGCCTTTAATTGGAGATTTTAGGTTGCAGTGTCTGTTCAGCCCACACATGTTCTATGCTT